GTTTTAAGAAGAGGAATCAATGTTATACTAATTCGCTATCCACAGTGCAATGACCATTTGTAAATGTAACTAATTTTAAAAAGTTTTGCAAACCTTCATCATCCTAACTAAAACAAATTTATGAAAAGTTAAGTACCTATAAACATCTGTTCATATATATAAAATTGATAGTTATGGAAAACAATGTATATATAAACAACATAGGCATGATTTTAAATCTGAAATCTATAATTTGTATCTATCTATCTATCTATCTATCTGTCTATCTATCTATCTATCCATCCATCCATCCCTATCAATTATGCTTCTATCTATTCTCAGGCAGAATACCCAGAATCTCTGAGCCTCAGTATGGGCATAATAATGCTTAATATAAACATCAGTGTCATTGTAAAAGCTATATCAATGTAAGGCATTTAGTAAAAAGTTTTGCATATATTAAGTACAAAATAAATACTGGATTTCACTCTCTCTGAAGACATTATTGATACATTTATATTCCACAGAAGCTACATGTCTCATAAGTATAGAAGCATCATTTTCAAATGACTATGATAAGTTCAATTCAGTTCAACAAGCATTTGTGTAACTCTACTATAACTTAGGCTTTGTGATTAAATCTTTGTGTCTTCAATATTTCAACAAAGAAAACACAAACACCATAGCTATTCAATTAGTGATCATATAAATAAATTATGTCTTGTTTTAAAAATAGTCATTATAAACCATGAGTCCCAAAACTGCATAGTTAAAATAGATAAATTTTAGGACTAGCTTTCTTTTGATAATGAGTTTTGATAAGTAGCATTTTATATTTGTTTCATCATTTTCTAGGTAATGGCTTCTTAGGAGGTCAAAAGCACTTCCTTATTGATTCCCTTTCTTTAATCCTTAGGTGTAAATTAAGTAGAATTAACATGGTTAGTTTTGTCCTGCAGCAGCTTCTCCAACCTTCCTCTGTCTTATTATGCCAACCCTTTTTCTTTTAATATCAGTAGCATCGATTGGTGCCAGCAACATTGATCTAGAAATAGGGTTAATTATCTGCAGCTGCAGGGCAGCCAGGAGCATAAAACGCTGGGCTTCTTGCTCAGGAGCTACAAAAACAATGAAACAACAAACCTCAGCTGTCCGCATCTGCAGCAATGTGGTAAAAAGTGGATGACATTCAAAGCTTGGGAAACCCATCAGGTATTTCATATTAAAACATCTAAATAACGGGTTATGTGACCCTACTGGAAAAAAGTGCTGCAGCTAAACTTCTTTCTCATTATTCATAACACGATTTTCTTTTAACTGGAAATGATAATGGTAACAGAACTTTAGCACAATAACAAAGATGTCATCTCGTTTGAGACCAGTTCTTCACAGAAAAAGCCATTAGGAGACAATATCCAAATATATGACTTTGAATATCACATATTTGGATGGTTTACACCATCCTCTACACCGGCAGTGGTGGTCAAAGCTAGAGGAAAATTATGATTCATAATTCATAATTCATAATAATTCATAATCATGTTATTTTCTGATTTCAGAGGACAATTAGTATTTAAAACACTAAGGAAGGAAAAATTTACTAATTATTTCAATTATTTACAAATCCAAGTGGAAGACCTACCAGTTTCTTAAAACCAGTTGTTACATCCCTTGTTTCATATTTAAATATTCTTCTTTAACAAGATCATGTCTTTGCAGCAATATGTATGGGTCTGGAAGCCAGCATCCCAGAAAACTAACAAAGGAACAGAAAACCTAATATCACATGGTCTCAGTTATAAGTGAGAGCTGAACAATGAGAACACATGGACACAGGGCGGGGAGCAACACTCAGTGAGGCCTGTCTGTGGGGAGAAGCGGGACGGAGAGCATCAGGATAAAGAGCTAATGCAAGCGGTGATGGGCTGATACGTGCAGCAACCACCATGGCACACCTTCACCCACATAACAAACCTGCACGTTCTGCACATGTATCCCAGAATGTAAAATAAAATATTTAAAAACGCTTTTCTAGTCTGTAAATCACGCATCCATTTATTCTGCCAATTAAAACATATTTGTTGATTGATGCCTATACCCTTCTTAATTCATTTTGAACAAATATACACAAAGCACAAAGAAAATAATGTTTACTCTTAGGTTATCTAGATTGACCATTTCAATTGATCAAACTATTTGTTAAAATGTTCTTCTCTAAATATTCTACAAATAGCAGCTATTTTACTAAACTCCTCAAAGAAAACACGTACTGACCAGTAATTTAAGATCTGGGTACACAGTCGTAAATTAGAAGCAGACCCTACCTTCATTAAGCTTTCAGACTGTCAAAGGAGACTGATGTTTGACAAACTATTACAAATGTCATGAGCCTTCTAAGATGAGAAGTTTAAAATTCTAAGGCAATGAAATGAGTGTGATGTATAGTACAGGGAAGAGGAGCCTGGAAAGCATCTTTGCAAACTGTAAACCCCTTGTAGAGAGGAACAGTACGTTTCCTTTCTCTTTTATCAGATCAAGGAAAGAAAAATTAAGTTGTTCCTTTAAATGGAAAAACGTAGCAATTTGTATTCTAAACTGTGTAAATGGGCAAAAATTGATTAATTAAGCTGTCTTTCTCTGCTTTCTCTACCCCATCCCCCAAATACACACGATCCTCAATTCTAAGATCTAGATTATTTGTATTAGCCATTTTTATTGATCAAAGTGCTTGGCAAAGCTCTTCTTCCATAAGTGTTGTATAAACATTCACTATGTACTGACATCCTCCAAGCAAATAAAGCATATCAAATATTAATCTTAAAATCAATTTGTTGGAAACTAGTGATTTATTTATTGAGTAGAGCATGGATTGAGTGTACATTTATAAACAGTCTCTATCAGAAATAGAACAGGACCAAATACTATTTACATAAAGCATTTTGAAATTCACCCACGAAAAGCACATTAGTTTCCCCCCTGAACCCCCCTCCACCACTACACCAAAGGCAAAGCTTCAGTAGTGCCCTATTCAGGATTCTTCAATTATATGTACTAAGGGACATTTGGCTATTGGTTTCTGATAGTCTTTATCATGTTAAGTAAGTTTTTCTCTGTAGTTAAGTCATTTAACAAGTCAGAGAAGTGAGGAGACAGCACAGTTGTAAAAAGCATAGACTCTGGGGTCGATCAATACAGATAGGAATTGAAGCTCTGAAAATGTCTAGCTTTGTAGTCTTGAGTCAGTTAGTTTAACCTCTTTTAGCTTCAGTGTCCAACAAGTGTCAAGATGATGTGTCTCTGCCACAGACATGACATTAATTGTGAGGTCTTTGTTCCTCTTTGACTTGGTTTCAGGGGGCCAGGATTGAAGTGGCAGGTGAACCATTTGAAAGCCGTTAAATGTCTGCACATGGAAATTTTTCCCAGGGTCTCTAGAATTTATGATAGAACAGCAGTTTTTGCTTTTATGGGAAATAAACTTAGTTTCTGCAACTTAGGAGAGAGATCATATATAAATCCCTTTTTACACCCTTCTCTTTTTATTTCACCCCCAATATACACACGTTCACATACTAATATTTTTAAATTTGTATGATTAATTAATAGACATGCCAAGAAATTTAGAATCCTAAATAGAAAAATGAATTTCTGGAATTTGTTATCCTTCTGTAAAACTAACATCAAAGTCATGGTTGACGGGGGATATGTTACTGATAACTGCTTCACCCTTTTGTGCTTTCCTGCAGTACCCTGACTTTATGCAATTGTGATTTCCAAGAAGTCTTTTGTTCTTTACATCACCAAACTGTTACCTTCTTTTCTCCTACTCCGTCTCTCTTACTTCCACAAGTACTTTACTGATATAGCACGATTCTATCATGACTGAACACATTTCCAAACCCCCAACCTCTGTTACATCAACCTCCTTTGGTTATAGAAATCTGCCACTATAGACTTAACATTGTGGAATAAAGACTTCTCCTAATCCACTCAGCATGTACAAGACGGTGTCATGTATATACGCTCTTACATTATAAGAAACATCAATGTAACTTAAATATTAGTTGTTTCCTAGAATGCTACTTATATTCTTATTCTTATTTTCCAATATTCTTATTCTCTTTCTGTTGGTGTGTTTGAGTAGCAGAATTTACATGCACGTATACTAAAGCCAAAAACCCAATTTTTCTCTGAGCATAAACAAATAGCACAATTTTCTTTGTTCATTCAATTTAAAAGCAATACATTAATTAAGTTCATTATCACAGAAATAATATTCTCTCAAAAATAACTTTAAAAATCATAAAGGATATGAATAAACCACTTGTTTTAGTCAGTTAACCAATGAATTAACTTTTGACTGTGGCACATTCAAATTTTAAGACTCAGCACCAAACTACACAGGCTGTTTCCAAATTATGAGTCCTTCTGCAAACAGAGCCTATCTTACAGAAGCAGTGATGGTTGTTGTAAGGTACTTGAAACCCTTCCTTCCTCTTTCGAAATTGTGACCCAGCATCCAGGGAATTGATGCAAGGACTCCACTGGTGTCAGTGCCTCCTAAAGGAGTTGTGTTGAGGGTTTCAAGTCCCAAATCCCTATTTCATGACCTTTAAACTCTTTTTATAAACATCAATCATTTTTTTCTCCTTTAACTTTCTGTTTCCTGAGGGAAATAAAGATGATTTAATAGCCATAAACAAAAATACATGGTGGGTACAAAACTAATTGTTCCTTAAACTTGAAAAAGCACAAACATTTAGCCATAACATTTAAATATCATCTTTGTATGACCTTCTTTATTCAATGATATATGCCTCAAATTCTATAATCCACAGTAATTGTGATTGATTCCAATGTTGAACCCAAGTGAATCATAATTGTGTTAACCAAGCTTCCGAAACCGTTTCAATAAAATTCTGCATAAAAGATTGGCAGGCACTGCCAAACATTTATACTCTACAGTTATTCCTGGCAAGGAGTGCTGTTCAATCAGTGAGATTAGATTTAACAATGTTTACCTGTGTGTAAGCCTCCGGTGACTAATGCAGACTGCTGTCTGAGAATCTTGAGCAATGCAAACTTTATGACGACTGCATTTCATCTTTAAGCATGGATCTTTAGCTGGATCTAAAGTTAAAAAATGCACAGAAAATATTAAAATCAGCTTCTGTGAAAGAGAGTTACCAAATCCTATCAAACACAATTTGATGAGGTACTTTACATAGTGTTTAGTTGTAAACTTTCTTCACATTCTTCCTCTATTAAGAGATGCTTCTGCTTCTACCCACATAACTCAGAATTAACAGCCAGCTATAGTTTAGTCTCACCCACTCTATTCAGAAGCTGAGATGCACATATGCCTATGATCAGACAATGTGTAATCAAAATGAAAACTTGCGGACCCAAACTCTGTAATTGCTACTACCTTCTAAGCAGTAAAGGTGGTGAAATAAAGTTAGAATATGTTCCTGGAATATTTTATGACAGTGGAAAACTACAATGTATTCCTTTGCTTTCCCTAGATAAATGCTGGTGGGTAAATACAAAGAATGAAATGAACAAACAAAAATGTCAGTGGACATCAGTGGATATCTTTGGATATCCAAAAATAGTCTAGAGCTGTACTTGGGGACTGGATGAGTATAGCATGTAAGAACTGAGATACTGCATTTTCATTTTTACATCATTTGTGTATTATATTTTCACCATCATTTCTTCAAACAAACCTCTGTCTTGATAGCTGCCAACAAAAAGTCGACATGAAGTGTTGATTTTTTTTTGGTAACAGCTTTATCTACATATAATTCACATATTACACTATTCAGGCAGTTTACAGTCAATGGTTTTCGGTATCTTTGCAATTGTAAACTACCACCACAATCAGTAATAGAATAATTCTATCACCAACAATACCTAAACTATCTTCTTGCTATCATCTCCTATTCCCTCTCCCCTCCACTAGTATTAGCCAACTTCCCATCTCATTTCCACCTCTAAGATTTGCCTATTTTGGACATTTTATATAAATTGAATGACAAAATTTGTGGTTCTTCTTGCCTAGTGTCTTTTACTTAGAACAATGATTCTGAAGTTCAATCGTGTTGCAGCATGAATCACTGCTTCATTCCTTTCTACAGCGGATTATTATAACATTTTACAGATATACCACATTTATTTATTCACTAGTAGACAGGCCTTTTGCTTGTTTCCACGTTTTGGCTATTGTGAATAATACTGCTATTGGTGATCATTCATGATTAATCCTAGTGACACTTGGTTGTAATTTGTTGTTGTGCACAGACCAGAGGGGGAGTTGGAGCAAATAAACAAAAGGCACTGAGTGTCTAGATTTGGTACATGCCAAAACTGAGAGAAAGAAACAATGAAATATGCTAAACAAAACAATTTTAGTGCACAAAAAGAAACAGAACCAGAATAATGTGCCTTCAGAACTTGCAGAAATATTTGGAAGGGCTCCCAGCTGACCAGTGTACATAAAATGTGGATTTGAGACAATCTTTGAGGGTAAGCTCAAGTTGATGTAAAAATCAAATTTAGCTTTTCATGTATGTGTTAATTCTTAAGCATATTTAGTCAATTGTCTGAAAACGGTGGATATATTCTGATAATCAGTGCATTTTTATTTTATTTCATTTCTGAGACTGACACCCTGCTGGAGTGCAGTGGTGTGATCTTGGCTCACTGCAACCTCCACATGCCAGGCTTAAGTGATTCTCCTGCCTCAGCCTCCCAAGTAGCTGGGATTACAGGCGCATGCCACCACACCCAGCTAATTTTGTATTTTAAGTACAGACAGGGTTTCACCATGTCGGCCAGGCTGCTCTGGAACTCCTACCCACCTTAGCCTCCCAAAGCGCTGGAATACAGGTGTGAGTCACTGCCCTCGGCCTGATAATCAATGAATTTAATAAAATACAGACATAAGGTATAATATATATGCACATAGATCTTACTGATTTCAATATGTAAATGTTATTTATGTAAAAATTTATTAAAGATTTTACATAACTATGAGATTTAAAATAAAGAATGTTAACATGTATCATTGGTGAAATATTACACAGACATTTTATATTAATTCATGCTAAAGTTCACTATGCAAATGTAAATTGCTACAACATTCTTTTCAGACTATCACTTTGAATCGTCATTAGTTAAGAAATGCTATCTTCAAAATACTGCACTATAAGAGTGTATGACTTCTTGTTGGGCAACATAAAAAAAACACACACATGATAACCTAGAAGACATCAAAAATGTTTTGAGCTATTTCTAATGTTTAGTCTATGTTGATTTCTAATTGTTAAAACAACTTTAAAAAATTCATTAAACAGTTCTGCCTAACAATTAAATAATGTCATTGTTACCTGCCACTGTACTATATAGACATATATGTCATATGCTCCTTTTGAGTATATTCTATCTTGGACATAAGTTCTGAAAAAGGAGTCTTTTCATTTTGAAATAAAACACTATAGTACATTTAAAATTATCATTATTAATGTAGTTACAATTTGACTGCAGACCAGTAATATTACAGCTGCTTTTTTCTTTACCTTATACAATCTACATTTAATAATCTCCAAAAGTTCAATGACACACTTTTGTCACATATGATCAAGAAAATAGAACTCAAAAATTGGTAAGAGTAAAAACAACAAATTTGACACCTGAAAACAATGTAATGAATTTACATAGCATTCTATGTAAATGACCAAATAAGAAAGGAGCAGTATTTGTCAGGAGGTGGGAAACACAGGAGAGAGGGAAAATAGAGAATCAGATGCAAGCATCTACAATAACAAAAAGATGACTTTCTGTGCCTAAGATTTTAACCATCTGTATTTTTTAGTAGAACTCACATTGTTGGCAGCTTAAAAAACACAAAACATTACATGCTGTAAATACAGATGCCCAAGATTTTATTCTTGAAACCATAACAATAACACAACAAAATTCTCTTGGCTGAAGCCCAAGGATTAGAATCGGTCCTGCGCCTTAAAGAGGTCTGGCATAAATTCATCATCTCCCTCTGTGTGTTCTTCTTTCTATCTTGTTTTCCATTTAACATCTCCTCTTCTGTTCGGCATAGTTGTATTTAGCTTTCTCTCAAGCAGCCAGTCAAACTACTTTTACAAAGATTTCAGCAAGTACATTTGACTTCACTTGGCTATGTTCTTTTCTTCACCCTAATCTCAAGGACTTTCTGGTCAGTGGGAACTAACCTGGGTACCTAACAAATACAGTTTTCTTTTTTGGTTGTGTTTTAGAAAATACCATCTGTATTTTCAACAACTGGCATATAATGTATCCTTTGAGCTTCATTATATTTGCAATGTAGGATTTCCCTCAATCTTTTACCAGAATACTTGTTTTTCAGTCCAGAATTTTTCCCAGTTATTTCCAGGTGAGTATAAACTAGGAAGAAGCAGGCCTCATTTAGCCCGTAATGGTGGGAATGCCTGAGTAAACAAGGGCAGGTGAGAGCAAAAATGAAAGTGGATGGAGCCCTGGGTTAAGTGAAAAAAGAGATGTAATTCATGAGAAGTTCTAATGTGAAGGGAACAGGGAAGTCAAGAAAACACATGGGTGGCAATTTACAGGGTGGATCAGGAAAGTTCATATTGATACTCATTTCTAGTGTACGTGGTTAAGAAAAGGCAAACAGTCACACCACTGAGGTGTAAAAATTAACATTAATGTGAGCATTAAGAATACAAATGACCACATAAACAGAATCAAAGACAAAAACCACATGATTATCTCCACAGATGCAGTGAAGGCCTTCAACAAAATTAAACAGCCCTTTATGCAAAAAACTCTCAATAAACTAGGTATCTATGGAACGGATCTCAAAATAATAAAAGATATTTATGGCAAATTCACAGCCAATATCATACTGAATGGGCAAAAACTGGAAGCATTTCCTTTGAATTCTGGCACTAGACAAGAATGCCCTCTCTCACCACTCCTATTCAATATACTATGGAAGTTCTAGCCAGAGCAATCAGGCAAAAAAAAGAAATAAAGGGTATTCAATTAGGAAAGAAGGAAGTCAAATTGTCTCTATTTGCAGATGACATGATTGTATATTCAGAAGACCCCATTGTCTCAGTCCAAAATCTCCTGAAACTGATAAGCAACTTCAACAAAGTCTCAGGATACAAAATCAATGTGCAGAAATCACAAGCATTCCTATACACCAATAACAGACTTGAAGAGAGCCAAATCAAGAATGAACTGCCATTCACAATTGCTACAAAGAGAGAATAAAATACCCAGGAATACAACTAACAAATGAAGTAAAGGAGAACTACAAATCACTGCTCTAGGAAATAAGAGAGGACACAAACAGAAACATTCCATGCTCATGGTTAGGAAGAATCAATACTGTGAAAATGGTCATACTGCCCAAAGGAATTTATAGATTTAATGCTATCCCCATCAAGCTACCAATGACACTCTTCACAGAACTGGAAAAGCCACCTTAAACTTCATATGGAACCAAAAGAGAGCACACACAGCCAAGTCAATTCCAAGCAGAAAGAACAAAGCTGGAGGCACCATGCTACATGACTGCAAACTATACTACAAGGCTACAGTAAACAAAACAGCATGGTACTGGTACCAGAACAGAGATATAGACCAATGGAACAGAACAGAGGTCTGGGAGGCAATGCCACATATCCACAACCATCTGATCTTTGACAAACTTGACAAAAACAAGCAATGAGGAAAGGATTCCCTGTTTAATAAATGGTGTTGGGAAATCTGGCTAGCTATGTGCAGAAAGCAGAAACTGGACCCCTTCCTGACACCTTACACTAAAATTAACTCCAGAAGGATTAAAGACCTGAACATAAGGCCTAACGCCATAAAAACCCTAGAAGAAAACCTAGGTAAAACTATTCAGGACATAGGCATAGGCAAGGACTTCATGACTAAAACACCAAAAGCACTGGCAAAAAAGCCAAAATAGACAAATGGTATCTAATTAAACTCCATAGCTTCTGCACAACAAAAGAAACAATCATTAGAGTGAACTGGCGACCAACAGAATGGGGAAAATTTTTTGCAGTCAACCTATTTGACAAAGGTCTAATATC